GTATAAATGGCCATTGACCAGACTTCGCCATTTGTAAGGATACATAATTATGTATGTGTTACAATAAAGTCCATTGAATTGAATTGAATTGAATATAAATCCGAACACCCAGTTTAAATGGTTTTATTTTAATAAAATTTTGTATAAGTACTTAATGAAGCATAATAAGTAAATGATAAAAATTTCAAAATGATTGCACTGCTTTAAAGCCCTTTGACCTTTAATAATGTGTGGATGCACCCTGATGTGCTACGCATTCTCCAACGCGCCTAGGCATGCTTCTGATCAGGTGGTCAATGTCCTCCTGTGGTATCTCATTCCAGGCAACCACCAACTCCTCTCGAAGTGCTTCTAGAGTCTGAGGAGGACGTTGCAAATTGAGCAATCTCCTACCCATCATATCCCACACGTGCTCAATTGGGGATAAGTCGGGAGATCTTGGTGGCCATGGTAACAATGCGACATCATTATGTTGAAAGAAGTCTATTGTGGTCGGGCATTATCTTGTTGGAAAGTTGGATCTGCCAGGGTGTCAAGATAGGGTAAAAGATGGGGTTCTAGAACTTCGTGGATATAACGCTGCGCGTTCATGTTACCTCTGATGAAGATTAAAGGTGACCTGGAACCATAAGCTATAGCACCCCAAACCATAACTCCAACAGTGTGATGAACATGTCTTTCAACAAAAAACTATGGATTCCTCCTTTCACCACGTCGCCTTCTAACCCTGGCACGACCATCGTGCATGCCTAAACAAAATCGAGACTCGTCACTAAAGACAATACTGTTCCATTCCTGATCCCAGAGTGACCGTTGTCTGCACCACTCAAGGCGATTACGTCGGTGTTCTCGAGTTAAAGGGAGGACCCAGTGTGGCCGGTATGAAAACAAGCCAAAACTTCTCATTCGTCGGTAAACACTTCGCATGCCAATAGGTCTTCCGTGTTCTGCAAACCATTCATTTGCAATGGACCTGGTAGTGGAGAAACGGTCCCTTAAGGCCAATAATCTTTGGCGGCGATCTTCACGGTCTGTTGTTCTACGACGGCGTCCAGTGCCCCTTGTTCTTTGCGTACGGCCTTCTCGAAGCCATGCCTGACAACACCTAACCACAGTGTCTACACTTCTTTGCACTCTAACTGCAATTGCCCGAAAAGAAAGTCAAGCTTCCCGAAGTCCCACTATGCGGCCCCTATCAAGCTCACTAAGTTGACGAAATCGTACAGGTCTCCGTACTCTAGGCATCGTAACCGATCGTAGAGGATGTCAAGAACCAAAATCCGCCAAGCGACGGTTGCCGACATTTCACAAAGAAGCGCCGCATTTTCGAAGGCGTCCGCGTAATAGCAGTGGCGTACGATGAGTTTCGCTACTGTCATCAATTTCGGTATTCTACTACAGGGTGACTTCGAAGTTGAGTCATTTATTTTAACAGTGAGTAGATCTGATCAAAAGAAATGTTTTTTCCCTATAGCATTTTTCTGGTAAAATTAAAGTAACAAAGTTATAGTCCTTTAGAAGTTTGAGTACCGCCCTGTCTCAATAATAATATTATGTGCTCGTGTTTGGCAACAACGGATATAATCCGTCTTATCGGTTCATCGCATCGGAAACAAAAAAGCGAAAGAATTTGAAACGCTTATCACGATGTTTTTACTACAATTTTATTCAGTTGTATTCAGTCAATGTGTCAGTCGGTAACGCGTGAGTGAATAGTGGTGTTTGTTGCGTGGCTCAAACGAAATAAAAAATGGCACATGTTTACGAAAATGCTGAACTTGTGGACATGATTTCTTTTTACAAAATGCTGCCGCGGCATCACGGATTTATGCGGATCGGTTTCCCAATCGAGTGCAACCAACCCCTCGTGCTTTTGTTAATGTAGTACAAAGGGCTCGTGAATCAGGTGACTTAAGACCTCACAGGAGACGGCATGCCGGTGCTCCAAGACCGCACGATCAAATAGAACTAGAAGAACAAATTTTAGAATTAGTAAATGATGATCCAACAGTAAGCACCCGACAAATTTCAAATCAATTGGCGATTAGTCAATATAAAACTTGAAAACTCTACGTGAAAATCAGTTCTATCCGTTTCACATACAAAAAGTGCAGGCCTTACAACCGGGAGATCATGAACAAAGGGTTGACTTTCGCAATTGGCTTTTAAATAAAGATCAAAATGATGACAATTTTTTAAATCAAATTTTAGTGAGTGATGAAGCCCTCTTTACTAGAAACGGAATTATTAATTCACGTAATTCTCACGTTTGGGCTACTGAAAATCCCCATGAAATAAGGGAAACCAATTTTCAACAGCGATTTGAACCAATCAACCTGTGGGCAGGAATTGTTAATGGAATTTTAGTGGGGCCTTTTGAATTACCAAATCGCTTAACTGGTGAAAATTATCTTGATTTCTTGCAACACAATTTGCCTGGTTTACTGAAAGATGTGCCTTTAAATATTAGACAAAACATGCGGTTTTTACAAGATGGGGCACCCTCCCATTATGCAAGAAATGTGCGTGAATTTTTAAATAGACAATTTAATAATCGTTGGATCGGCCGTGGCGGTTTTGTACCTTGGCCGCCAAGGTCTCCGGACTTAAATCCTTTAGACTTTTGTTTGTGGGGTTTGGCTGAAATCTCTAGTGTATAAAACACCGGTTAATACACGCGAAGAATTACGTGCTCGAATTGAGGAAATGAGTACAATGATCAGAAATCAACCAGTGATTTTATTGCGTGCTTGTAAAGAGACATGGCTAAGACGCGCCCAGCCCTGCGTCGAGCAAAACGGAAATCATTTCGAACAGTTTTTGTGACATGCTTTTGGGCGCACAGGTACGCACTGAAATACTTGTCGGGAGGATACTTTATAAAACAAGGTAACATTTTTTTAATTTTTTTTTATTTTTACACACACATATTTTGGTTTATCTTCCTTCTACAATTATTATCTGAAAATTAATGACTCAACTTGAAAGTCACCCTCTATATTAACACGTTCGCTGCCGCTGGCTCTTATAAGAGTCAACGCGAAATGTTCGCCGGTGGCGCTGACTCTTATCAGAGCCAAGGTACAATAACTGCAGGCACTCAAGGGTACACATTAGTAAAACGTGATTTAGATGGTAAAAAACAAGTATCCAGAAAAAGAAGCCAGTCTTATAGCAAGAAGGGAATCCGTACCCAAACGATGTACGAATGTAGAACATGCCCTGATGTTCCAGGATTCTGTTAAGAGTGGAGTGACATTATTCACAAATAATTTGCACTAAAAAATAGTCTGCATTCACCACAAATTCATGTTTGTATTCTATAAAAAAGTTGTTTCATTTCTTATTTTTGATTAGATTTTATCATATTAGGTGTATTATTTACCGGAAAAGTTTTTGTTATACTGTTATATATGTTCTCTACTATTTTGAGTTACAAAATTATTTTTAATATTCTATGTTAACGGACAATAATATTTTTTTTTGCTTTGAGTTTATTTCTATTATAAAAATAACAAATAAATACCTTCCGTCTCTTATACGCGCCAACTGGCACACAGGAGACCGAAGAGCCTCAAAAAATCTTCTAATCAAAAACACATTCTACAAAAATACCACAATAACTGATTTTAAGAAGTTATACTACCAATAGGGACGCGGGAAAGTAAAGTCAATTTGACATAGACGCCATCTTTGTTTTCTGTCACCGACATGTCATTTTGTTAGTTGAATGTTTACCATTGATCGCTATGGAGTCGTATTCGATTGAAGACCGCATTAAAGTTATTCAAGAGCACTACAAAAATGGAGCAAAAATAAAAAACACGTTTCGCGCGCTTCGTGAACATTTCGGTCGCAACAACCGCCCAAACGAAACAACCGTCGGTCGTCTGGTGCGTAAATTCGAGGCAACAGGTTCTGTGGCAAATCTGCCAGGCTCTGGCCGGCCAAGGAGCGTTCGCACACCGGAAAATATTGCTGTTGTGAAGGAGAGTGTGAGAGACGATCCGAAACAATCAATAACGCGTCGATCCCAAGAATTAGGCATTTCGAGAACCAGTTTGCTTCGCATTCTCCACAAGGATTTGAATGTACACGCCTACAAGATCCAATTGACGCAAGAGCTGCGTCGGGCCGACCATTTTTCGCGCCGATCGTTCTCAGATTGGCTCCTTGAACACCGCCAAATTGATGCCAATTTTTCATCAAAAATCATGTTCAGCGACGAAGCGCATTTCACTTTGAATGGGATGGTAAACAAGCAAAACTGCCGCATCTGGGCGAACGAAAATCCCCGTGAGTATCAAGAGCAGCCGATGCATCCTCAAAAAGTGACTGTGTGGTGTGCATTGTGGTCAAAAGGCATCATCGGGCCTTACTTTTTCGAAAATGCGGCCGGAGACGCCGTTACCGTCAATTCTGAGCGATATCACGTGATGATAGAGGACCATTTTTTGCCGCAACTTGAAGGAATGGGTATGGACGATGTTTATTTCCAACAAGACGGTGCAACATGCCATACAACCAACGTCAATATCCACCGATTGCAGTCCTTCTTCGGTGATCGCGTGATTTCGCACAGAGGAAATGTGCCATGGCCACCAAGATCGTGCGATTTGACTCCCTTGGACTTCTTTTAATGGGGATATTTGAAAAGCAAAGTCTACGTCAACAAACCAGCCACCCTTCAAGAACTCAAAAACCATGTTGCAAAATGTCATTGAAAATTTCGACCATCGCGTGGATGTCTGTAAATCCAGTCGTGGTGAACATTTGAGCGATATTATTTTTCATACATAAATGGTATAAATGAACCTTCAAAATGAAGTACCCAACTTGATTTGAATATCAATCTTTATTGTTTTAATATGCGTTTACTTTCCTGCGTCCATTTTGGACAACCCCATACAACTATTTGGCTCCTGGGTAAAACCAACCGAAAAAAGGTGGCAGTCAACGTGTTAACAACTATTATAAAAAGTTATTACTTGTTTGGACAGGCGTTTACTGGATAAATTGAATAGCACCAGCCCGAGCTTAGAATTCATTGGAGTGACACACAGCAACGACTTTGCCGATTATATCACGCCTTTGATATTAGCGGCGCAATGTGGACATTACGAGATAATCAAGATGCTCATTGAAAGAGGGCACACAATTAGCAAACCGCATCCACCCACTTGCAGGTATGTATATTCTATAATAGTGATTTTTTCAGCATGGTCCTTTGTCAACGAAGGATGAGGTTACACAACGTATAAAATTTTTGTGATAAAGTTGTTTACTGTTCACGAGACTTATCGAAATATCCCAGTGAACATGATGACTTCAAAATGACGCCATTACTCCGACACGTCAAGCATTAAGTAAAGTTATATAAGAAGAGCAAAAGGAGTCCCAATAAATATCTGCTTGAACAGTACAAACGTCTTAGATCTGAGGCAGCGTTGAAATATGGTCGGGAAGAAACTAGCGTTAGCAGTATAATAATAATAATAATAATAGTAATAATAATAATAATAATTTATTAGTCCTGTATGATCATAGATGTGATATAAGATAAGTCAGTCAGAGCACTACAAAAGCTAATAACAAATCATGTTAGTGTGGACGCACACATATTCGTACCACATATGACATATTCCAAATATGGATACAGATAAATCAAATTAGAGTATAGATAAAATTTATAAATATAAAACATATACAGGGTGTCCCAGAAGTCGACGTCAAGCCGAAACCGGCTGATAGGCAAAGTCATAACAGCTATCAGAAAAATATTTAAAAAATTTTTATGTATGTGTTTTGAAAATTATAGGTCTTTGAAAAAGATATAGAAATTTCACACCCTACGGCAGTCTGTCAACTCCTGTTACTACAAATATTAACTTGTTTTGGATTTTATTTTTACAATGTAATGATGAATAATGCATCTTCAAACTGGTGTCTCAACCTTACTGCCAACTTTTCTCGTTCAGGAAAAATTGCCACTTATTTCCCAACCAAGTATTCCAAAGTAAAACTTTGCTCAACTTTAACTGGCTGTACTGGAAAAAAATGTACTACGAGAGTTTGGCAAGTAACCTTAAAAGTTGGCGCATTTAATAAGGATTCCAAAATGGTATAACACTTAGAAGATTACTCGTTAACTTATGCACAATTTTTATTTGAAGAAAAACTGATGAAAATTTTTCAAAATTTCCTAATTAAACAGCGATTATGAAAACGCACAAGGACCCTTGAGGATAACTGTTTGCACAACAGTGGGCGTCAAAATACTGCTGATGATGATTTACCTTTACAGCAAATGCTCAAACTGTTTTCCTTCAGCCGCAATACACGCTCGACATCTTAAAAAAGATCGGGTTATTAAACGAGCGAATCCACGGTTATTAACAAACTCAGCTGCTTCAAATAGTCTTTGCCGTAGCTCAGCTACATTTTGAATCGGCTTGAAATATACTTTTTCTTTTACAGTTCCCCAGTAAAAAAATCTAAAGGATTCAAATCAGGTGATCGGGCTGACCACGGTATTGTACCAGACCGCCTTATCCATCTGCCTGGAAAGTTTTGATCGAGATACTCTCTCACTAGAGTGCATAGTGCGCTGGGCAGCCATCATGCTGAAACCACATGTCCCAGTAAATACTCAGTGGCACGTACAGCGTGTTCAAGCTCATCTGCCCCGGGATTATGAGTCCCGAGTTGCTTTTTGTCGCACAATGTTAGAAAGACACAGGGAAGATCCACGGTTCTTTGAAAAAATTTTATGGTCAGATGAGACCACATTTAAGAAAGATGGGTACATGAACCTGCATAACTTACACGAGTGGCACGTAGCAAACCCACATTTGATGAGAGAAGATAAATCTCAATATCGCTTCAAGATAAACCATTGGACAGGAATTTTAAATGGTAAAATAATCGGTCCGTTTGAGTTCCCAGAGACTTTGACTGCTGAGGTTTATTTAGGTTTTTTGCAAAATCATTTAGAAAATTTATTGGAGGACGTGCCACTGAGTATTTACAGGGACATGTGGTTTCAGCATGATGGCTGCCCAGCGCACTATGCACTCTCTGTGAGAGATATCTCGATCAAAACTTTCCAGGCAGATGGATAGGGCGGTCTGGTACAATACCGTGGCCAGCCCGGTCACCAGATTTGAATCCGTTAGATTTTTTTTACTGGAGAACTGTAAAAGAAAAAGTGTATTTCAAGCCGATACAAAATGTAGCTGAGCTACGGCAAAGACTATTGGAAGCAGCTGAGTTTGTTAATAACCGTGGATTCGCTCGTTTAATAACCCGATCTTTTTTAAGAAGCGTGTATTGCGGCTGAAGGAAAACAGTTTGAGCATTTGCTGTAAAGGTAAATCATCATCAGCAGCATTTTGACGCCCACAGTTGTGCAAACAGTTATCCTTAAGGGTCCTTGTGCGTTTTCATAACCGCTGTTTAATTAGGAAATTTTGAAAAATTTTCATCAGTTTTTCTTCAAATAAAAATTGTGCATAAGTTAACGAGTAGTCTTCTAAGTGTTATACCATTTTGGAATCCTTATTAAATGCGCCGACTTTTAAGGTTACTTGCCAAACTCTCGTAGTACATTTTTTTCCAGTACAGCCAGTTAAAGTTGAGCAAAGTTTTACTTTGGAATACTTGGTTGGGAAATAAGTGGCAATTTTTCCTGAACGAGAAAAGTTGGCAGTAAGGTTGAGACACCAGTTTGAAGATGCATTATTCATCATTACATTGTAAAAATAAAATCCAAAAAAAGTTAATATTTGTAGTAACAGGAGTTGACAGACTGCCGTAGGGTGTGAAATTTCTATATCTTTTTCAAAGACCTATAATTTTCAAAACACATACATAAAATTTTTTTAAATATTTTTCTGATAGCTGTTATGACTTTGCCTATCACCCGGTTTCGGCTTGACGTCGACTTCTGGGACACCCTGTATATATAAATCAATAAAACAAGTGGATGCGACTAAATTATTAGGGATATACAGGGTGTCCCGAAAAAAGTGTGCACTATTCTACCAGCGGTTTCTAGAGCTCAAAAATAGGAAGAAAACTTCATATAAACATAGGTCGACAAACATCCCCTAAGAGCGCTACGGTCTTTCAAAGGGGCTCCCCTGAAGATGGTTTTTCCTTAATATTTCCGAAACGTGTTGAGATAAAGACATAAAATTTTGTATTCTAGCCTAGTTTTTTATGCTGGAGTTAATCATATTAACAATTTTAGACAATTTTGTTTGGAAGCGTATGTAACAGGGACGGACTCAGGTTATTTTAGCCCCAAAATTTTTGTGTGAATCTATTTTTGAAATTCAATTTTAGAATTTGAAAATTTATGGTTTTTTACATTAAAAAGGTACTCTTATTGATTATCGATAAATTGTGCCATTTTTGAATAAAATCAAACTAAAAAATTTGACACATGATAGGAAATATACTGCGAATTTAAATGAATTGTTGATTATACATAGTTAGCCATGACTGCAAACAAAAGTTGTTTTGATTTGTTATGACTTACTTTGACGTTAAGCTGACATTGTTACCAGTGTAAAATTACTAGATTTAAATCAAAATTGTTATTAAATCGATTTAAAATGCCAAGATTTACAGACAGAGAACTGACTGACATGCATTTGGTGTACGGGTTTTGCAATGGCAGTACATTGGCAACCGTAAGAGAATATCAAAGAAGATTTCCCAATCGCATAGTACCTGGACGTCGAATGTTTACTGATATTCACCGGAATTTGTCAAACCATGGAAGTTTTCAGCGCATGCAGGGCTCAGGAAGGCCACTGGGAAATCATCGTATGGATATTGCTTTAAATATGTTTGAAAATAATCCACAAATAAACATACGAAATGTTTCAGAAAATATAGATATACCTCGATCAATAGTAAGAAAAATTTATGAATACCTATTTGATAGTTATCCTAAAAATAATAATTTTAGATAGGAAGAATGACAAGAATGCAACGATTACATCCTTATCATTTTAAACGGTTGCAACATTTAACGGAGGCAGATTTTTTACCACGAATCGAGTTTTGCCAGTGAGTGGATATTAGCAAATGGAAACACTATTCCTAGAGTATTATGGTCGGATGAGTCACTATTTGCTAGGAATGGTGCTTTTAATTTCCATAACATGAATCACTGGTCAGATGAAAATCCAAAATTAAAAGACCTAGTTTACTCGAGTGAAGTAAATACTCAAGAAGATTTACTTCAAAGAATCCAATAGGCTGCAAATGAAATAAGAAGAAAAATGTTTTCCACTTTTCGGGCAACGCAATCATTAGTTCGTCGAGCGAGACTCTGTATCCAACAAAATGGGAATTTATTTGAACACTTATTGTAAAGCTAGTTTTAAGTATATCCAACTGTATGTCTTCTTTTTTAAACAAATTTCAATTTCGTTCGTAGAAAAAATTTATTTCTTTTGTTTTTGCCTAAATGTCAGCTATGTTGCAATAGAAATGTGTATTTATGTAATATTTAACAATTATTAAATTAGTTGTTTCGTTGACATGGCTAATAATTCAACAATTCATTCAAATTCGCAGTACATTTTCTATCATGTGGCAAATTTTTTAGTTTGATTTTATTCAAAAATGGCACAATTTATCGATATTCAATAAGAGTACCTTTTTTATGTAGAAAACCCTAAGTTTTCAAATTCTAAAGTTGAATTTCAAAAATAGAATCACACAAAAATTTTGGGGCTAAAATAACCTGAGTCCGTCCCTGTTACATACATTTCCAAACAAAATTGTCTAAAATTTTTAATATTTTTAAATGCAGCATAAAAAACTAGGCTAGAATACCAAATTTTATGTCTTTATCTCAACACGTTTCGGAAATATTAAGGAAAAACCACCTTCAGGGAAGCCGCTTTAAAAGACCGTAGCGCCCTTAGGGGACGTTTGTCGGCCTATGTTTATATAAATTTTTCTTCCTATTTTAAGCTCTAGAAACCCCGCTGGTAGAATATTGCACACTTTTTTCGGGTCACCCTGTATATCCCTAATAATTTAGTCGCATCCACTTGTTTTATTGATTTGCCAAACGATTTTATTAATAAAGTATGATCCATCGGTGAGGTGGAAAGGTTAAATCTAAGGAAAACAGATTTCTGATTATTTAAGACGAGCCCGTTAT